TAACAGTGACAGTTAGTCCCTTAACATGGGTGATAGAGTGTTGCCGACTGGCTACCTTTCCTCTAGGCAGTAGTTTATTTTTACCCCCATAGCCTGTCACTGCAAGGATATTTCTCCCCAAGGTCTTTTATTACAAGGATATTTACCCCCATAGCCTGTCACTGCAAGGATATTTATCCAAAAAAGCCTCTCACTGCAAGGATATTTACCCCCATAGCCTGTCACTGTGAGGATATTTACCCCCAAAGTATTTTACAACTAGGAAGGATACTTGCCCCAAAACTTTTACACTACAAGAATATTTCTCCCCAAGGTCTTTTATTACAAGGATATTTATCTTAAAATTATTTTAATACATATTTACCTACATAACCTTTTACTCTATAAATGTATATATGTTTATATACTAGTCAACCATTCTTTGCAAAGTTTATACCTTCAGTCTTATATGTATACATACAACTTTTAAGTATTATTCAAATTACTTTCAGTCATATTTCTTTATATTAAGTTAATTGTTTCACATATATAGTTTATATTTTTATAACTAGACAAACACTTTGTGACATCTACACTTCTATGTTTTGTACCTATCTCAAAGAAGCTAATTTTAATCATTCTACTGCACTTATTAAAGGTATAACGTTCTTGTGAAATATGACATTTACTTTAAGCTGTTACCTGAACAAGTAAACTAGGGTAAAGGAAACAACACTGATTTCTCAGATTAGAAGTAACATAGTTGTAGCATAATTTCTTTCATGGATAGGCAAGCCACCAGATGGCAGCATGGACATTGAACTGTACAGATGATTCACTATAAAGAAAGTCCACGATGGATAACTTGATAACCATCTTGTACTTATCTATTAATCCCAATTAGCCTCATATCAACAATAAGCTTTCATATTTAATAAAATGTTTTGTAAATATTTATATCCTCATTCATGTAGAGAGAAGATTAGGTTTAATCAGATTTTGTCATAAAATATTTAAACAAGTTTTAAAAAAAAAAGTATTTTAGAACTAAACCAAAGACCAAGTTTATAAGTACAACGTGGTATGGCCAACTCGGGTAATAATAAAACAAGCACTAATAGTCAGTTCTTGTGCACACATAAATCACCAGTCTCCGCTGCACATAAAGTTACGTTGCAAAAAATGACTTAACTTTTTACACACACACACAGTCTTCTTTCATACATACTAGTTTTCCTCAAAGAACTTTTTTTAATATTTTCACACATTATCGAAAATAGTGTGTGACTAAAATTAGCAAAAAAAAAGAAAGAAAGCCATTAAAAGATGTAAAAAACAACATCAACAACACCATGATAGGTAGTCAAATGTTTTATCTTCTATATATATCAGATTTACCCTTGTTTGTTTGTCCACTGCAAGGAATCAAACCTTGGATTTTAGCACTGTAAGTGCAGAAACTTACCACTACACCACTGAGGGACATACATGTTTTTTTGAGATGCCTATCAGAAAGCGTTAAATCTGTTTTATTTCAAATATAAAACAACTTCTAATGAAATCGTTACTGAAATTATCAATTCTGGAGAGGTACATAAAATATGAATACTAAAATATTCTATAGGTTTTTACAATAAAAGTGATCTCTTTAAATTTCATACAGCATCTACAAAAAAGGTTTTTACATTCAGTTCCCAGCTTTCCACACTCCAGGACAAAGTCAGCACCAACAAATTTAAAAAAACTGTCCATATGTTAACATTTTCAAATAAATAAGAAACTATGTGGATCCAACACTGAAGGCAAACTACACTATCAGGACTACCAAGAATCACAGGTATTTTGTAGGACACAAATCCTGCTTCTTACAAGACTCTGGTCAATAATCCATTTACAAGATTCATGGTCTGATCATCAATCAGGACAATGTCATAACAATCTAGGTATTTTGGAAGACTCTCTTCAATCTAGGAAACAACAACAACATTTTCATTATCAGAATATTATTGAGAAAATTATTTACGTGGTTAATGTAAGCCACCTTTCTCATAAAGCATTATAAGCTAATAGGTTCCATTATCATGTAGCTTATTACCACGTTTAATGAAAAAGCAACACACTGTTGAAGAAAACACTGATATACTGGTTATAAGACAGATATAATAAAACAAGAAATACAAGTATAATCAATAACGGTAAACGTAGAAGTGACCAAAAAGTTGAAATATGAAATGTAAAAACCTATTTCTTTAAAGTTAGGTTTGGTTCTCGTAAAGAACAAAGCTATGCAATGGGCTACTCGTGCTCTGCCCATCACAGGTATTGAAACCCAATTTTGGGCATCGTAAGTCTGCAGACTTACAGCTGAAACACTGGGAGGCATTTTCTTCAAATTAAAAATAAATAAAGCAGGTTTAACGAAACCCTTACCTTGTGGTTGAGAAACCCAATACGAAGTATATTTGCACTCTGGGGAACTCCATCAGCCATCTGGGGATCTCCAAGTGAATCTCCCAACAGAATAACATTGTTGCGATGTTTCAGTTGATCGAAATAGTCGCTATTATGAATGGACGATTGACTTTTGTTGTACATGTGAATTATGTCTCCTTTAAATCCAGTAACATTTCCCTACACAAAGGTTTAGACAATAATACAGAAAACAATTGAATTATAAATGCAGCAATATATATATATATATAGGATCATTTTAAAGTGATAGACAAAACGGTCTTGAATCAAGACAAAGATTCAGTTCTAAAGTAAAACTAGTCTACCAAATAACTTTCGTTGTTCATCAGAAAAAACAGTTAGGTGGTAGTAAATAGTTCCGTAAAATTGGTATTTCATGGATAAGTTCTGTCTGCGAGAAATGTCTCTTTGCTTAATATTAACTCATTTTCAGCTCTAAAAGTGTGTTAGACCAATATAACAAAGAGCCCATTGAATAAAAGATAAGAACTGCAGTAAAATGACAGCACTTACTCTGAAGCTAAAGACAAAACACTGAAGTTCCATACAGTTATAAATATCCATATGAATTTTGTATCATTCTGTTATATTATTGTTATAATAATATTGAAGTAACTATCTTGATTATTCTATAAAAGCTGATGGCATTTAAATATTATAAAATAGTATTAATAAAATTCTGACACAAAATAAGAACCTCATGCAGTATGAAATTCTTAAAGAAATGAAAGCCATGTTTTTTTTTTGTTTTACCAAATACTCATGTAAACTTATTGTACACTCAACATTTTGTGCTATGAACCAAAACTGAAACCCACAATAAAATGGGCCAATGTTTAGCTTATAGAACCTAATCCTCTTTTGAAGGGAGTTAGTAGGTTATTAGTGGTAACACAAAGTTTCTTTAATACATACAGTCAAATCCAACATCACAGCTCGTGGTGTTTCTCACACATTCTCGGGCAATCATGTTAAAAAAACTTACACTGTCAGGTAACCTTGAGGTTTTTTTTGACAATGATGGACTATTAAACTAAGTAACAAAATCTTATTCAATTTAGTTAAGTTATATATTTTATAAAACACTATTAAGAAGAAGAATTTTTTCATTAAACAACAACAAAAGATATAGTAAGTATTATAATTCTTCTTATAAATATATACCTCTCCATCAAATTCCATGAAGTTAGCAACAAGCTCCATGTTTGGGTAGAAAGTACCAAAATGTGTTAAGACTTCTTTTACAAGGTCCCCGAGACCTGCTGAAAAGATCAGTAACGGGACTTGATTTTTGTTTAGGGTTGCAAATAAAGTCTCACAGCTTTGCCTGTAAAAATCAAATATCTCTCAGTTAAAATACCATATGTTCAGAAATGGCTTGAATTTCTTGTAAAGAAACACAAACCAATGTAACATTTTTTGTCATTAACGCTTGACAAGAACAACATGTATGCAAAAGTCGCACACCCTAGCCATAACATTTCTAAGTGCTATCTTTAGTATGATTTTACTGTAACTTTTTCTTTTCATAGAACAACTGGTTGGACTATCAAGTGTATTTTTGTGTCTATGACAAAGCTACTAAGTTATCTACTGATACCCTTAATTTATCCTTGTAATAAAAGACCTTGGGGAGAAATATCCTTGCAGTGACAGGCTATGGGGGTAAATATCCTTGTAGTAAAAGGCCTTTTAGATAAATATTCTTTGTAGGAAAAGGCTTTTGGGGTAAATATCCTTGTATTAAAAGGCTTTGTGGATAAATATCCTTGTTATAAAAGGTTTTTCTGATAAATATATTTATAGCTAAAGCAACATGGGTGTTTCTACTAGTTTATTAATTTTTTTATAAACTTCTAACTCTGTTAATAAGTATGTATATTCCATAGTGATTTGAGGCCAAAGCTGCTGAATGATTGTAAAGATCATTGCACATTGTGCCAAGAATATTTGTAAGTACTTCATAACTCATTTTCAAATATTTTCTGACAATTTACTGATG